CCTTAGGTATGCAAGAAAGAGTTCGAGGGGCTGGGGAGATAGGTCAGCAGTCTAAGCACTTGCCAGGCAAGCACAAGGACACAAGTTGGATCCCCAATACCAGTGGTGCTGGCCCCAGAACCTCAGGCTTGCTGTGCCAGCCACTGGAACCAGGCATGGTGGCATATGCCTATAATCCCAGTGCTGGGGAGGCTGAGACAGGAGGATCACTATGAGTCTAAGCTGCATAGCAAGACCCTGCATCAAATAAATAAATAAGACAGAAAGAGTTCGAGAAGCACTTTTCAGAGTGGTGGTTCAAAAGGACAAAAAAAAAAAAAAACAAAGCAGGCTGGGATGGAACTCAGTGGTGGGTTGCATCTCCAGCATTGCCAGAAAACACATACACACATACACTCCAACTTTTCACACAAGTATATATTAAAAACAGGGAGGGAAGACACTAAGGTGGATAGTGGTAAGCAGCAAAGAGCCACAGAAGGTAAGGGGACAGCTACAGGCCAAATGAGTCTGGTCTCAGCCAGAAGATGCAGGCTCGCTGAGATCACCCACTACTCTATCAAAAGCTACGGCTAGGTTGCTGGGATACATCAACAGGAATCAGGACTCTATCTTACATGGTATTTACCACAGACAAGCCTGGAAGTGGATTTTCTCTGTCTCTCTTTTTTCTGGCTATTGTTGCTGTTTTCTTTTTGGTATTTTTTGTCCTTCATTGTTTGATTTTGCTTTTATATGAGTGTGAATGTGGTTTCTAGCCTCTTCATGGTGTGGCTCTGTTCTGTTTTTCTTTTTATGTCTTTCTTTTCTTTCCATGTCTTCCTTTTCTTTCCCTCCAGTCTTCTGCACCAGTTTCCCAAAGTTAGTGTGATTCTTCCTTTGTCCTCCACACTTCTACTCTTCCTCTTCTACCTATTTTTTTTTTCCCTAACTCCTTTTAAATTTTAACCCCTATGGGCAAAGTTGACATATTAAGGATTTATATATTGCATATAATTTTCTGGTTTGTTTTAGATTTTGTTACGTAACTACAAGTTCAGTTCATATGGTTAAAGGTGGCAAATTAATGGTTACCTCAGTTTGTCATTTTCTAGTCTGTGATTGTTGCTACTGTTATTACTGATGGTACAGCTTTAGCCAAAGTGATATCATTGCTCTAAACAGCCATTCTTCCTGGTATTCCAAGACTGCGATTGAGTAAGGGCCACAGAAAATACTGTGTGGCACAATGCCAAAGAACCAGGCTGGGACAAATAGGCAACAACTTCCCATCCCCAACAAAGGGAAGAGATAGGATCTTGCAACAGACTCAAAGCTCAATAACCAGTTACACCTACAAGATACCTTGGTGAAGTAGTTATTTCCTAAGGATTCTAAATACTAGTAATAAAGCAACGTCATAGGGAATTTACAAGCATCACCCCAGGAATTAAACTAAAAAAAAAAAAAAAAAGGAAAAGACATTTAAACAAGTTGTAACCCCAGACATGCAGATCACCAAAGGCAAACCCAGGGGGCAATTACGGGGAACAATCTAAAAGCCACCCACACAGCCTCTCTGAAGTGGTAACAATAAAACAAGTGAATGAGCCCCTAGGAAAAAAATCAAATCAGAGATAATTTCTCATGTAACTGGAGAGAGGGTGTCCACAATGAAAACCCTGCTTAGTGACTGTAGAGCAGTCACAGACAAAAAAAAAAAAAAAAAGAGAGAGAGAGAAGCTTCAAAAACTTGCAGAAGCTATGAATGTGGAGACAGGAAAGAAATGGAATCTATAAGGCAGATTCAAACAGATACTCAGGAGAATAAAATTCCATTGAAAGTATCCACAACAGATTAAGCCTATGTGAGGGCAGAATCTCAGAAGAGAGGCTTGTGGTTAGTGATCATGAAAAGAAAGATTTCTTAAAAATAGCAAGGGAGGGCTGGGGAGATAGCTCAGTGGTCTAAGCGCCTGTCTGGCAAGTGCAAGGACCCAGGTTCAATCCTTGGTACCGCATGCCAGGCTGGCCACCAAAACCAGGTGTGGTGGCACAAGCCTGTAATCCCAGTGCTGGGAAGGCTGAAAACAGGAGGATCACTACGAGTACCAGCTGCATAGTGAGACCCTATACCAACTACATAAAAAAAAAAAAATTTAAAAGTGAATATA